ATCTTATTAACAGTAGAAGTTAAATCTTACTGTAGTCTTCAAATCTGGGTACTGTCTTACGTTTTAAAATCACAAAGGGAGTTTGGTCCCATCAGGCTAACGTGACAGTCACGACTCATGCAGCTGTAAGCTTTTCTTTCTCTTTTGTTTTTACTCGCGATCTTTACAACACGCATTACATTACGTATTTCATGGCACACTCGTTTTATGCGTATTTGGCGCTACATATTGTTGTGGTGTATTATTGACATGTCAAAGTCTAGACCCTGAATATAAGACGACCGCGTTTTTTCAGATGTATTTCCAAGAAAAAAACATCGTCTTATATTCGGGTCAATATGGTACATTGCAACGCAATGGAATTGTAGTGGGGAATTTTTAATTTCATTTTTTTTGTGTGTGTGTGTGACTTAAATAACTATTCTTGGGTCTAAATATAATGCGACATGCTGTCTTTGAGAAGCAATGAAGACTGTAAAAATAAACAGTGAGTGAGGATGCTTATAGTTAATGTCCTTTCTCTGTCTCATTTTCTCTTCCTCGCATTCTACTTTCAACCATCTGTGTTGGGTCCAGGTGTAGCGGCCTGATTCCACGGGGTGTCATCGCGCAGTAAATGCTTGCTTTGGACCTCTTTCAGATGTATTTCCAAGAAAAAAACATGGTCATATTCGGGTCAATATGGTACATTGCAACGCAATGGAATTGTAGTGGTGAATTTTTAATTTCATTTTTTTTGTGTGTGTGTGTGACTTAAATAACTATTCTTGGGTCTAAATATAATGCGACATGCTGTCTTTGAGAAGCAATGAAGACTGTAAAAATAAACAGTGAGTGAGGATGCTTATAGTTAATGTCCTTTCTCTGTCTCATTTTCTCTTCCTCGCATTCTACTTTCAACCATCTGTGTTGGGTCCAGGTGTAGCGGCCTGATTCCACGGGGTGTCATCGCGCAGTAAATGCTTGCTTTGGACCTCCTGGTGACTGAATTAGCCCTGTGTATATGGCCCATTGGTGTCAGGTGTGAGGTCATTATCCCGCCACACATGGATGGGACAGGTGTCTGAGAGGCTTTGCACCACTGTTAGGTAGCAATAATGAGCCCTATTCTCTCTTTACCAAAGCCTCCTGTGTGTGTGCGTGTGAGAGTGCATGTAGAGAACTCCAGCTGGGAACCACAAACACACATACACACGCACCAGCTCAGGGAGAGCACACAAACACCTGACAGATGCATGCTGGGAGCTTCATTACCCCTCAAACAAAGGGCACAAGACAATTATAGGAGCATGGGTGCGTCCCTTACAGGCGAACCGTCCGCATGATAGTTTCCCAATGAGGAAATTATGCCAAGAAACTGAGCGAGTAAAGAATCAAGGTGCTATTAGCTCCATTTGGTCCTATTAGATACCATTTTAAGGCTGCTGTGAAGGGTTTGGTTTATCCTCATGGACAGAGTTAATATGTCCTAGTTCTCCAGCTACTATAAAACAGTCATTTATTTAATACCTTTCAAAATAAATTGACGTGAGGCCCAGATGTCATCTTCAGGATTAATGTGTCCCACATTCTGGACATGACATATGAACAAAACAGTGGGATACTAGAAATATTGGTACCATGAAGTTGGCAGAAAATCTAATTTTAAGAGCCACGTTTTTATATGTGTAACATCTAAATTTGTTTAGCAGTCCTGCTTATTTATGTTACTGCCCCATTTTTCTGCCTTTTGGGGGCAGTTCAACATTGAAATGTGATTGGCTGGAGACTTCCTTGTTAATTGGTTAATTTGTGGGTGGACGGTATACAAGTTTGTTATAGTTTTCAGAGAAGTCCTCAGCTCCAACTTGTTCCCTTCTTCTTTTGCTTAACATTTACTAATATTTATTTCCCCTTTGAAACATTATTTTCCCTTTATTGTTTAATCCCTGGACACAGCAATATGCTAAAACCACTCAGAACACCAATACCCTGGCAACCACCTATAATGCCCTAGCATTGTTTTGTTGGGCAAGAACCACTCTTTAGGGAAAAATCTTGTCTAAAGAGTTAGAATGTATTAGAATACATTCTACCTAAGCACCAGGTGTTTTATAAAAATGAGCAGTGTTAAAGAAGCTACTTTGAAGCTATATCTTGTCAAGCTACAAGCTAATTATAATTTGTAGTTAAGATATCTATAATAAGAACAATATTCATAACGGTAGTGTCCACACCAACTATTAGCTACAAACAACATAGAGTTATAACTATACTGAATTTACTCAAAGGGTACATTTCATAAATGTACCTATACGACATAGTTTATAATCTTTCAGGAGTCTTATTTTTTGCTGGCACAAACACATTGGACCCTTTTCACAGACTGGGATGATGTGTTTACACAGTTATTAACGAAGTAAATCTAGCCATGTATGCTGCCTGTGTGTTTCTAATACAAACGCTGGGGCTGATCTTTCTTTTCATCTCTTGGAAAATTTTTATTTTGCTCTTAGGGCAAATTCATATGTTGTATATATGTTGGTGTTTCCATTCACCATTCACTACTAAAGAAGTTTACCCAACTATGATGACTTCTTCCTCTGTCCAATGGTCCACATGGGATTTTACAGGTACTTAAATCAGAGTAATTTTCATGAATTTGTTCAAAAGAAATTAATTAGTGCAAAAAGTGACGTGACATGTGACCAAGTATGGTGACCCATACTCGGAATTAGTGCTCTACATTTATCCCATCCAAAGTGCGCACACACACAGCAGTGAACACACACACACCATGAATACACACCCGGAGCAGTGGACAGCCATTTTTTTTGCTGCGGCGCCCGAGGAGCAGTTGGGGGTTTGGTGCCTTGCTCAAGGGCACCTCAGTCGTGGTATTGAAGGTGGGAGAGAGCGCTGTAGATTCACTCCCCCCACCTACAATCCCTGCCGGTACAAGACTCGAACCCGCAACTTTTGGGTTACGAGTCCGACTCTCTAACCATTAGGCCACAACTTCCCCACAAGGTGCATATGCACACAGAGTACACATGGTTAGAAAATAACTAATTTAAAGGATATCACTTTAATATAGGGACCAATTCTCAGTATTAACTAGTTGCATATTAGCATGCCTATTATTAACATATTGGCTGTTTATTAGTACTTATAAAGCACATATTCTGCATGACCATATTCTACATTCCTACCCATTACCTAAACTTAACAAATACCTTACTAACTATTAATAAGCAGCAAATAAGTAGTTTATTGAGGCAAAAGTCGTAGTTAATGGTTTGTTAGTAGCAAGAATCGGACCTTAAAATAAAGTGTGACCATTTCAAGTTAATTACTTCCCATCCCGAACACTGCAAACGATTTAACTTGACTGAATTTGTGAGAAACAAAATAGGACACCGAAAAATAAAGGTAATATGGACTTTAACAAGCTGGCATGAAATTACATTTAAAAATAAATAAAAAATTCAGCCTGTTTTCTAATGCATGCTTCTCTCTGGTGACATATGATGGACTTTTCCAATCGTTTAGTCGGCTTAAACTATGTCTTTCTAAATTATTACAAATATTTTTTCCTTATCTTACTTAGAGCATCAAGTTAGCAAGGACAGCCAATGGTGACTCCTTAAAGAAAAAGCATAATATTTTGCACATATATTGTTTATAACATATCATATATAGAATGCATACCAGTTAATTCATATGTCAGTAGCCTAATATCGAGGATTTAAAATTGAGATCTGTAACCCTTGGACACTTTTGGTCATGGAATAAACAAATTATGGCTAACGGCTAATAGTGTGTTTCCACAATGGCAACTAAAAAACTGTATTTGCATGATGCTGCATCCACACCACTAGGTGTCAGTAGAAACCAAAGACCACTGTCATATCCGCCAGCACACCATAAATGAAAAATTAGCGACTCATCATTGAGACTCATTTTCTCACTTGCTTGGGAATGAGAATAAAACCACTGTGCGATCATGAAATACGACTGCAGGTGCGTTCCAACTGCCATGTCTATTTAGCCTTCGTTTCTGCATATCCGTGTGCGTGCCACTGACATGTCCTCGTAGTGGCAAGAGGAGACGGTGGTGCCCTTTATGATATGAAGAGCAGGGAAAAGGTTATTCGCCAGAGGTTGATATGTGTCAATCACCCTTTAGAGGCTGTTTGCTGTCACTGCCTCCGTCACCGCACACACTCTGAAAATGCTCCAAATATCAGGTGAGAGGAGAGAGAGCTGGCAGAAAAGAGATTGCCTGACCTTATTGTTTGCCTTCGTCTCCTCTTTGTTCTTCACAAATAAAGGTTTTTTAATAAACTGAAAAGGTCCTCCGCCACAGCCTGGGGAGCCAATGAAAGGGAGCACTGAGGTATGGCACAATGTGGCAGCACAGAAAGAAGCAGCTCATCAGAAAATAACAAAGGTGCAAGTTAAAGATAAGGCTGCTGTCAGAGATTAATCCCACCAGCCTTGATTGTTTTCTTTAATACCGGCCCTGCTACTGCAAGCGATAAGTTTGCTGAGTAATTTAGTTTTTTCCCTATTTTTTATTTTTTTTTGCTAGAATAGGAGGCAGTGGAGAAGGATAGGACAGGAAAAAATATTAGTGCTGAAGTTCAATTAAAGATATACTTAGTATATTTGATTGTGCGAATGTGGAACTATTGCAAGTATACTTCAGGTAGCCTACACTTTAAATATCTTGCATTTAAAGATGGATATTATTCAAACATCATACAATCCTCATCAAAAGAGACATTAAAACACATTTTAGACTTAATACTAAGAAATGTGCATTGTGCACAAGTAGTGCGAGTAGTATTTTTTATATCAGAAAGTCTCGAGTTATCTGTCAGTAAATATGTTGATAGATTTAAACTATGAAATAAATGTATTTTAAATATATTACATTTTTACTATAGGAAACTTTAAGATAATGCACAGTTTTGAAATAATTTCAGCTCATCTATACGAACTATCTATATGTCCATGTATTTATTTATTTATCAGATTTAATTAGCAAAAATGACCGACAGACTGTACATTACTATGATAGATTGCCTCTCTCATATAACAGAGAATCTAGAATCATCATCTCTAGAATTCTAGAATTCTGAGCACATGAAAATGCCTGACAATCGCAGAGCTCAAGCTGAGCTGTGTCTGTGTTTGTTCAGTCTAGCGGAGTGGTGGTCTCGCTAATGGACATCCGTCTTAGTGACAACTGCCATCCAAATGAGCACTGCCAGATCTAGACATGCGTTGACATAATCAGCCGCAGGGTGAAGTGAACTCTGGGAAACCGGCCCTGAGTGCATCTTTCATTTCTCATGCCATCTCTTCAGCAACACGCATCTTCTCATAAATTCTTGCTCTGTTCACAATGCATCAGTGAATCTGCTTGTTAATATATACAGCCTTCTTTTATCTCTCTATCTCTGTTTCTCTCTCTTTCTCTGCTGCCTTCCCAGTGTCTCCAAGGCTCTCCTGAAGATGGACTCACTCCAGGGTTGTTTTTCCAATTACAGAGCTCCCTCTGCAATGAAGGTCATCACAATTAGAGCACCATTTAGCTTCTCCTAGTGAAAAGCACAGAATAGCGGATGCGACTGTGTCGAGTGACCGCTGGATTGTCATTGCAGCCCACTCAAGTGGCTCTTTCACGGCTGCAGGCAAATGCATTAGAAGAAATCTGAAGATTAGCTGTGAGCGAACTGAAAAGACATCTTGGAAAGAGAAAAAGCTTTCAAAATCAATATAGCATCTATTATGCACTCAGCAGCGGGTTGTATAGTCTTGTATGGCGGTGCTGATGGAAAATGGAGGGAGCTGTGTAGACTCTACTGTATATTACATTTCTCTATATTATCACCATTACAGATGAACTCTAAATGGATGTACTCAGAACTATATAAAGAGGTGAGGGCACAATCTTCTCTTCTAATTTTCTGCAGCATGATGGAAACATGCATATTAAAAAAATCATAGAAAAAGCCTTCTATATTATTTTTGACCGTGAATGTTCATCAAAGAGTGTACTGTTTGCATTGTCTTTGTCATTCTCACCCATATAGCCTATTCCTTTGTCCCTCTGTGTGTGTATTAAGTCCTTTGTGTAGTGTTTGCATTTATCTTTACTCACATAACTGTGTTGCGGAGAAAATGAAAAAATCAAAAATCACTGATCCTCATATCCTTATTTCCTGTAGCATATTTACCGAGCCTCTGTGCTGTGTGTTTGGAGCAGATGGTGAGGGACTAAAGCTCCATGGTGGAGGGAAGGCGTCTAATTGCTTTAAGTAAATCGATACGGGACTGCAGCTAGCAGCAATCCCTCACTCTACATCAGCCTCTCACTGCAATTACCACATTGATTGGCCACTGCTAATTGAAGGCCTCGTTATTTCAGCTTTACGCAGTCATGGTGACAGAGTTCAGACCCCAGCAAAAATTCTTTGTTCTCCTTTTGAAAAAATAAATAAATAAATAAATAAATAATAAAAATATACACATACACACACATTATGTACAGATAGATATATAATGGATATATATATATATATATATATATATATATAGTGCTCAATGTCATGATGCTTATTTTTTGTGCAGATCAATACATTGTCTTGAATACCCTTCTGATATGAACATGTTTTTATTTCTGAATTAAAAATAAAGTAATAAACGTCAGGGTGATACAACAGTCCTTATATAATATTTATATTAAAAAAGCCTCATAAAAAGAATAAACATTTTAAAAGGAAAAGCCTATTAAGTAATTATCTTTTATCTTTGTTTACATTTAATAGTCATGATTAAATATTTTAACTGTATACTAATATTTGAAAAACTGTAGTCTAAATTCATTTGGTGAAATAAACAGGTAGATGCTATTTATGAATAATTCATGATAAGTATATTATCTTGAAAAATATTTTTACACATTCTGAAAATATAATAATTGTGCACACTTGCAAGTAAAAGAAAATCATATGAAATTAGCATAAGAAGAGTGTTTTTTTTTCCTTTATCATGGACACTTATTTACCATTGACCCTTAATCTAACATCTGATATTTATTATATACCAGGCTATGAATTTATAAGGTGTACTAGTATTGATATTTCTATTATCTAGGCATCTATGTTTTCATTATTCCCAAGTTAGTTGTATAATAAACTTCAATATGATTCAATAAGCACTAATTACAAAATGACATTCAACATAAATTGAAGTTCTGCTATAATTATTTTTACCCATCGCTCTAAAAATATTTGTACTCTTTTAGCATACTCAAATCTGAATGGCAAATGTCAAAACACACCTTAAGACAAAACACGTCATTGCCCACACACATACATTTCCTCGCTGTGCAATCAGTAAAATAGAGAGAATTTTCTGTGTGGAACGTCTAACAATAGCCATTACATTTTGAGTAGCATTCGTGGAATTACATTGCTGTAAATTGTTCATTTTCAACAGGTTATGAGAGATAAGCTGGCGGCCATGCCTACCACCACCATGACCCTTCTCTGCTGGCTCTCTTCATTTCCCATGAGCCCCGGTTAAAAATGACCTTCCATGCCTCTCCTCTCTGCTCCACACCCCCTCGAAGAATAATAAGGGTGCCAGACACATTAATTAGACGGTCTATTTAGATAAATGTCTGCGAGCGAACGTGAGGTAGTTATTAATATTTCATATTAAAATAATTAAATTCAATTTTTCATTCGAGCGAAATAGAACATCTACATTAGCGTGCATTGCTTTCTCTACTTACCTCCTTCCTGTGTGTGCATTTTTATTAAAGCCTTTTTTTCTTTTGCACACGTTTTCCTGCTCTTGTACTTGCAATGTTCCCTCTGCAACACTGATTGGGTCAAAGTGCCACATGGAGGGAAGGTACAGGAAATGACTGTTAATTAAAGAGCTGACAGCTCGCATGTCGCTTGCTGCGTATGTGAATGGAAGTGTGCTTGCATGTGCGACATTGTGAATGTGTGTGTGTCTGAACCCAAATACATGGACCGTCCTTGATCAAATAGCTACATCTGTCAAAAGACATTTTTTGCGATGGTACTTTGCGCAATTGTTTCAATAAAATTCTAATTTAGCCCTATATTTCCCTCATCTCTGGTTTACGTCCCTTTTCCCATCCTGCAGAGTCTCATCTCATCTTCCACAGCATCGCATTGTAGAGCACTTTTGTGGCCCTGATCTCTTCGAGGTTCAAATCCATCAGCAAAAATCTTAAATGCTTCCATTGTCTCTTGTGTGGGAGGTCAGTTCTCTGTTTCACCTGACCAGAAAGAGCTAAATGGTTGCCAGGGAGACTGGAGATCATTTGTGCGTGTGTGTGTGTGTGTGTGTGTGTGTGTGTGTGTGTGTGTGTGTGTGTGTGTGTGTGTGTGTGTGTGTGTGTGTGTGTACGCACTTGTGTCTGTGTTCCTTATGTGTGTGTAGCGCTTCTAATGCTTCTATCAGCCTTTAGTCATGCTGGTGTTATTTGGAGCAATAACACCAAGCCTGACAGTTTGTCTCTCTTCTATCCGTTACTCAATAGCATAAAAGGCAACCCTGACCTTTAAAAGAGAGAACTAATAGTTGAATGAAAGAAAGCCAGGAAGTATGAGCAGTGAGTGCAGACTCCTGTGGGGGGAAAAAAAGCCATTCCGACACAGGAAGTACAATAGATGTAGAGCTGCAGCAATTACAGAGGTGCCGCAGAGTGTTACACAGAGTGGAGCGCATAGAATAAATTCATTACTGCTGCAATAAATGGAGCAGAACACCTATACACTGAGACGCAAGAGCACTGACTCTAATAGCTACTATGAAAAATACTGTTCAAAAATGCATACATATAGTTTTTTATGAAATGTGCACATATTCAGTGTGTATGTGAGCAACATTTTATAACTTTAAATATGCATGGGGTCCAAAAACCTGAGACTAATTGTTCTGAGATATGCATTAATTTCATAAATAATTTAATTAATTTAACAAAAAAAAATAAACAATAAAAAAGAACAAAGTTAAAATTAAACATTTCATGAATGTCACGTGCTTATTATCACAAATTTGATCAGTGACGTTTAAGTACAATTTATAAACCCTTGCAGAATTTTTACAAATATAAGGGATAAAAGATATTATATTTTATAATTTAGTACTGCCCTTCAGAAGCTACATAAGATATTTACATATAAGGCAAAATAATTACAATTCTCCTGTTCAAAAATGTAAACCCGCTTGTTTCTTAATACAGTGTTTTGTCACCTTAAGCATCATTGAATGTTTGTACCTTTTTTTGAGTCCCTCAGTTTTCCTAAGTGTGAATAGCTGAATCTCAATATCATACAGCCATAGTTGGGATGAGCTCAAATCTGCAGAAGATGCATAAAAATCAAAGAATGCGCAGAACCAGGATTAGTTTTTTTGATGAAAAGTCAATCATTTCACTACTCACTTACGCACTATTATCACAAGACATACAAATAATGATCATCATCAAAGCCACACACCATAATAAGGTTCATTTCAACATAAATATGTAAGTATCCTCAAGTTATATTAATAACATGATCAGTGCAGTATTAAATTAAGAAAATGCTATTTTTATGAACCCTCTTTATTATTTTTTTTATGATAAACATCTTTCAGATTCCAAAGGAGCTTTGCAAACTTATGCACTTAATTTCTAATTAATTTTACAGATTATTTCCAGTATATATTATGCTTATTTCCAGGTTTAAACGGCATTTTAAATCTCACATTTTTGTGTGGTCTCAGACATTCGAACCCGCTCAATTTTATTTTTAAAGATATCAAGAATGATGATTAAAAGCAAAAGCTTTTTAACCACACAACTAATTTATACAGTGATAATTTTTCTGCTACAGCAAACACCTGCAAACTGTGAAAGCACACCATTGTGGACCTACAGTTCGCTAAAGCTGAAATCTCCAATCTAAAATAACTTTTGGCCTTTCGGTCTCCATAGCATCTTTTCAACAAGATTAATGTTAAATAATGTGCATTAGTTCATGAGTGTGCAGTTTCTGTTGACTAAAAGGCTGGTTGATGATTAAGCAGATATGGGGAGTATTTAGCATGTTATTCTCCCCCTGCTCTCTTTTGGACTCTTCCTTGGCTCTGTGCCTAGTGAGTGTAATTTGGATGAGTACTGCTCGCTTGCCTTTGGGCTCATTAACAACAATATAAACAGTAATTACAGTGATCGCCTAATTAATTCATTGAAAAACGGGCGAAAAAAGGAAAGCACTGAATGGTTAAGAACCAAGCGCAAATCTTTTGCCTAGATAACAATTTTATGGCAACATTGTTGACATAATTAGCAATTTCACGTGCCACAATACAACTTCAATAATTACAACACTTTTTTCTAGAATTCATTTATGTGCATTCTCCTCTTATTGTTTGTAGAGATTTCCACAGTGCCCATCATTTGTGCAATTGTCCCTTCTCTGATATTGCTGATTAAATGTACTACTTACAATCTACTTCTTTTGTTCCAGAGCCAATAGTGCATTTCTGTCTGGGCATCAATATGATGAGTCTGCTGTGTGCTTAATCTGAAACGAGTGAAAAAAAATTTTCATGTGACTCTCAGCTCTTCATTATTGGTCTTAATTAGCTTAATTAGTGTAATTACTTAATTGTGGTTAGTTAAAAGATGATAAATACCTACCGGTAAAAGATGAATAGCTTGTAAGAGAAATTAATGAGCTTATATTTCATTAATACAACATTTACTAATATTTTTCCTTTGAAATTCCATTCATTTTTTTTCTTATTTAATAGTATCACCTATATTCCCCTTATGAAACATACTAGGAATATACTGCTAATATTATGCAATATTTTAATTAGTACATTTCCATATATGTGAAAATACTGCTTATATTTTTCAATTTACTGCAATATATGCACAATATATGCATGGACCATGTATGGTAATATAGTGATCATTTGATACATATAATACATATATAGCAATGAAGACCGCAGCACATTTTTACACATAGTAATATATACACTGTATATATATAGAGAGAGAGAGAGAGAGACACACACACACACACACACACACACAGTACCCTACATCTACATATTATGAAGTGTATTATTTCATATAAAATCGCATACATCATGATATATAAAGTAACAATATATGGCAATTATTTGTATTATTCAATATAATATTAACACAATATATTATGCTGTATATTTTCAACATACATTAAATAATTGAGTATATTAATTGTTCAAATATAAGGAGATATATTTTCCTTGCATAAGGGTTACCTACATTGTGTTTATTTTTCACAGCATCTGAAATACAATTATTCTAATTCCTTAAATAATATTAGCTTTTGATTACATGTTGAAAGTTGAAAATATATTAAAGACTTGTACGGATAAATTCAGATGATTTTAAGATGAGCAGATTGCTTCTTCAGTAATTAATCTAGAATCTAGATAAACTGTGACAATAAGCTTCTCAGCTGTTGATCTGCGACTGTTTTAAGCATTGTTTTTAACGCCCTAACAATGTAAGAGCAAGATATTTTAGTGACAGACACTGATCATTGATCAGCAGTGAAAGCAGACAGGCAGAAAGCATGAATGAGCTCCTGGGCCACATGGAAACCAGGCTGTAGTGGTGCCAGCTGACTGGTCGCCAGCAATGGAAACTTCCCACAATTAACACAAATTACTGACAGTCTGCCAGCTATCAGCGCCTGGCATCAGCCTCGGGCCTGGCAGCCATGCAGAAATAGGAGGTGGGATCATATACAACAACGATAATGTGTGCTTCTGTGTGTTCATCCATTATCACCAGTGTCACTGCCAATATGTGTCTCATGTCTCTGCATGTCATTTCTACGTGACACAAGAGTGGGTTGTGTGTGTGTGTGTGTGTACCTGATATTTATCACATTATAAGGACCAAATGTCCCCACAAGGATAGTAATACTAGTAAATTTTGGCCTTGTGGGGACATTTTTGAGGTCCCCATGAGGAAACAAGCTTATAAATCATACAGAATGAGTTTTTTTGAGAAAGTAAAAATGCACAAAGTTTCCTGTAAGGGGTAGGTTTAGGGGTAGGGTTGGTGTAGGGCAATAGCACATACAGTTTGTACAGTATAAAAACCATTACGCCTATGGAGAGTCCCCGTAAAACATGGAAACACAACATGTGTGTGTGTGTGTGTGTGTGTTTATAAAAAAATAACTCATGAAGCATTTGTTTGTTAAGGTTAATCAATCTCTAATGTAAGTTGTTTTGTATCATTTAAACAAGCCCATCTTCAAAAGGCAAATCTAAGAGTTTATTACGCTGAAGTCCACATGCATTTCAGATCTGTGTGGTAGGTTGTAGAAAGTGTTATTTATCTTCTCTTGCCACTGTTATCTACTTATCATTCATATTGTCCAAATCCATCTAGTCTGTAAAAAGAAAAAAGGAATGTGATGTGGCACAAGGGTTTAAAATGACATATTTCCCATTCTGGTTAATTGCACATAGAAAAACACAGAACAAGCACAGGCTGCTGCAGATTTCAACTGTTAGATTAGAGTTATAGCGCTATCTAGTGTTAAAAAGAGGACAACACATTTCTAGCACCTTGAGGCATTTCACAACACTGAAAGTTTGGGATGTACCTTCCATGCCAAAATGAACAAAAACAATATTTTGAAAACCTACAACTACACTGTCAGAAAAAAGTACAAAACCTATTATAGTATAGTGCCTATTATAGTCCCTACTATATAGCAATAATATATGTACCTTTAAGTTATTAAGTTACTGTACCATTCAAAAAGGTACAATGATGTACCTTTCCGCTTTTGTATCTTAGGGTACAGTGCCAGTGACAGCTTTGTACCTTTTTCTGACTACAGAAAGAGTACTATATAACTAACTAAATACATTTCATGAATGACATCCCAGGGCTTGCAAGACAGCAACTTAGTAATAGAGTATATAAATAACCAAACTAAATACACATCCGTGGAATCTAGTGTAGCGTTAAGTGGTTCGGGCTGAATTGCAGAAATTTGTGGAGAAAAATACAATTCAATAAAACGCCCATCTTTTAAGCAATGTCATTAAGATTTGTATGGTCAGTACAGCTTATTGTTATAGTGAGGTAAATGTTATGGGGCACTTTTTTCTGATTATTTTTTGAGGGTCTGTTTATTTTTGCAAGCTAATGTATGTATAGACACTTACTCTAACGTCAGGAGCCAACACTATTAGCAGTTCTATAATTGATCAAAAGTTTATAATAAAAGTGCTTTTACGAGGAATCTAGAATTTCTTTGAGCTTTTTTTCGAGAAATATATATTTTCCTTTAAATCGTTTTAGTGAATGAAAATGGAAACTACATGTTTTTGTTTTCACTGTTTTGTTGAATAAGAAACATTACACTCTTCAAATGAACCTATGGCAGCAGGCCTGTTACGTTTACATTCTATGCTAACTTTCTGTGTTGCTAAAGTATAGGCTACACAACAGAACGTTAAAATGATGGCTCCTACAATATCCCAAAATAAATGAACAAATAAAAAAGCGATACTGCTTTCCAAGAGCAAAATGAAAGGAATAACTGAAAAGTAAAGTCCTGTCACCAAACCCACTTTTTTTTAGTCAGTCAAACTCAACAGGCTGATGAGAGGAAGGTAAACAGTTCAACTCTACCATATCTCATAACAATACTCCATATGATTCGTGTGCGATATTCCAGTTTTTTGAAGTCACTCGATTGCTTTTTGTGCAAAACAAACCGAACAATATCAATGCAAATATTTCCACATAGTGAGGTAGATATGTGGGGGCGTGTTGGAACGAGCCGTTTTAGGGGGGCGTGGCAGAGTCTTAACTTTGATAAAGAATATCTCTTTAGTTTTGAGACTTTAGTCTTTCCAACTTCAGGGATCTTATCTATGAACAATCAGCTTGTAACACTCCAAAGAGAAAGGAAAACTTGAAATCGCATCATATGACCCCTTTAAGACGTTATTCAATCAAAATATTGCCATCCCCGCTTTCCATTCTAGCGCGAATGCGAGAAACATAAAAAAACATATTTAATATCTTTTGTATCCTATATTTTGTATTATAATCTAAATACCATTATGAATAAAAAAATTACAATTTGCCTTTCGATTATATTTTTACTCGTTATGATATAAATACTACATGGAGGTGCTGTTCTTTGTTGTTACTGTAACACCACTAGATGTCAGTACATGCATAGATTTCATAATATTTCTCAACGTTTCACGTTTGACTCTTGCTGTTGAGTAGAATGTATATATTTTAAATAAAAACGTGAAATCAAACGGCTTCTTCTTATAAACTGCATATTACATTTTTGTTGCTGTATTAAATACTACCCGATAAGTAAATTCCAACACTTGGATGTAATAACAACTCATATTAAGACTTGTTATAGAAATCTAAAAACGCATTTGAAAACAATACATCCGCGAAGATGCAACCATATTCTCTGAAATGTACAACAAAGATAAATGCGTATTAAAACACTGATTGAGCATCACATCCACGCGCTTGATACTCCTCTCTGAGCCGCAGCCAAGAGGAAGGCGTGCCGCGCAGATGACGTCATCAAACATGTCTCGTGCCACATTCCCCAAACTGCGCGAGGGCACTCAGGGCAGTGAGAGACCGTTCTCGGTTTAAGTTCTCCACAGTTCTCGCTTTGTTCTCTGCCGTTGCATAGGACCCTACAGCTGGTTTTGTTCCTTGGCTTCCTCCAGTCGTCTGCAGAAAGTGTGCTACTGTGAGTATAGTTTTCTTGTTTTCCTAAACTTTTCTTCAAGTTTGTCGTCGTTCTTTCTTTGAGCTCTGTGTTTGTTTTGTTGTTCAGCTCATGACTGTGTTTCTTGTCTGTGATAAACAACGTAAAACCATCTCGAGAGGGTGGGGAACAACAGTACGTCGTGTGGTTTCGGAACACAATTCGTTGTTTTTACGCTGGCATAACGTGTGTTTTAGCCTGTTAGCTTGATAGTAGCAAGTCTCCTTAAACCTCAGCTTGTGAATGTTGGTCTTCTGAACGCTAAACTAAGCTTGTTATACTCATTTAAACTGCTCTTCCAGCGCCTGACACAAGCATTTTGAAGGGCTCCTGTAGAAAGGTTTGTTTGTGAAGTATTACCGTTAGCTACTAACAAGAACAGATGGTCAGATGAGTGTTTTGACGAATTGTTATCTTTACTGCCACACATGAACTCTGAAATGACAGTTTCTCATGTGAACTTTATACTTGAATGGTCTGCTGAAGTTTGCTTATTAAATGCCTGTTGTAGATGTTGATACGTTATTAGTGATGTTTCTCTTGATCGTGTCTTGAAATTTCTCCAGTGTCATCATTGAGGATAGATCTCAGATGGATGTCATTCATGCTTTACAATGGCATCCTTCAGAGCGTGTGAGGTTTTGACACTGAAATAGCTTTTAAGCATCTTTAAATATCTCTCAAGTGTCATGAACCGAAAGAGCCAATGTTTTTGTCTGTGTTTGAGATTGCCAAGGATGCTGCTTAAAGGGGTCATATGATGCGATTTCAAGTTTTCCTTTCTCTTTGGAGTGTTACAAGCTGACTGTGCATAGATAAGATCCCTGAAGTTGCAAAGCCTAAAGTCTCAAAACCAAAGAGATATTCTTTATCAAAGTTAAGACTCTGCCACGCCCCCCCCCTAAAACAGCTCGTTCTAACACGCCCCCACATATCTACCTCACTATGTGGAAATATTTGCATAATGCCGCCCAAATGTGCACGCAAAGAAAGAAGGCGTGGTTTCAGTAACCGCAGTTAGTGTTGAAGCAGTGGTTCAAAGCAACAGTTTTGATAATGAAAAACCTTCTGATCAGACACAGGGCAACTTTTTGAGCAATTTTGTCCGGCAACTTTTTTTGAGCAATATTTCTGGGGGACTTTCCCACTGAAAATGGGTAACACATTTCTTTCTGGATACTTTAGATCGGTCGTGCGCCCTGTGTCTCATCTGGTTGCCCGTTGACTGCAACATTGCTCAAAAAGCCGCGTGTATCATCAGCCTTAGAGGTACTGTATGTGAAACTTGTTATGTTCATTCAAGAAGTCTTCTTGAAATAGGTATGCATGTTGTCATACTGAATAGGAAATTGTCATACTGAATAGGAATAGCATGAATGCTTCATTTTGAAGTTGCTCGATTTAATGCATGTGCGTTTTTTCTACCAGTGTTTGAAGAGTTCATCCATGCCTATTACAGTTCCTAAAAAATATGAAGTCCTTTGGTCTGTGTACTTTCATGACTGCTGTTGAGGAGCCCAGATCTGCCCCCTCCCTCATTTTCCCACTAATGCAGACCAGATGGAAATTAGAGCCACTGATGCAAGCCAAGAGATAACAACCGTGTGTTCCCATGCCAGATGCCCCCCCTAACAAACACACACACACACGTCTGTGCTATCTGTTGGCCAATTCTACTAATGCATATAATTTGCAATGAAAGAGAGAGAGTTGGCATGCAGGATCCAAGCCGGCTGACCATCCTGCTGTCACTTTGTGTGAAGAAGAGCCACTTAGAATAATGCATAATATGTTATGGAGGTGTGGAAACCTCGCAGACATGAAGCTTCACCTTACAATGCCGATTATGGTCCATGACCTGTAAATGTGTGGTCTCACAAAAACTGGCAGCACCAGCATTCCTATTTTATTGTCAAATCAGTCTTAATGGATGGAAAGATATGCTGAAAAATTACTTGCCTTCAGGCCATCCATGATGTAGATGAGTTTTTTCATTGGAATGGATTTGGGGAAATATCATCACTTGCTCACCAGTGGATCATCTGCAGTAATTGGGTGCCGTCAGAATGAGAATTCAAACAGCTGATAAAAGCATCACCGTAATCCACACAACTTCAGCCCATCAATTAATATCTTGTGAAGTAAAAGTTGTGTGTTTACATAAATCCATCACAAAGGCTTTTTAACTTTAATCTCTAATTTCTGGACGAAATGCCAGTCCATAACCCATAATAATTCGTCCCTCAGTCCATCCCCTGTTGTCCTCTCGCCTTAAAAGCCACCAACATGTTTGTTTAGAACTGTTTTTACTTGTAAACAATGCTTGATCTGTGCACATTTCTCTCCTGATTCAGACAAGACACATTTTTCACTTGAGAAAGCAATATTATGGATGGAGGACTCATATTTTAGCCAGAAGCAACAGTTTGAAGTTAAACTAATCTATCATTAAGATGTTTTTATTACAAACACAGCTTTTCACTTCACTGGTTGTTAAATGATGGATTGAAGTTGTGTGGATTTGGCCTACTTGTGGATTATTGTGATGCTATTTGAACTACTTATTCTGACGGCACCCATTCACTGCAGAGGATCCATTGGTGAGCAAGTGATGTAATGCTAAATTTCTTCAAATATGTTAAAGGAATAGTTCACCCAAAAAGATGGGTTGAACACAATGTTGAACATAAAAGAAGGTATTTTGAAGAATTCTGAAGTACCAAGCAGTTGGGAAAGAAATACTATGGAAGTCAATGGGGACCATCAACTGTTTGATTACCAGCATTCTTCAAAATATCTTCTTTTCTGTTCACCATAAGAAAGAAACGAATACCGGTTTGGAACGACATGAGGGTGACATGATGACATTATTTTCATTATGAGGTGAACTATCCCTTTTTAAGTTGAAGAAACATCATCTACACCTTGAGGGTGAGTACATTTTCAGCAAATTAAATTTTTTGAGTGAACTCATTCTATAATATATTGTATTTCATAGCATATGTGTTTGAGGTGTTTATTGAGCCAGGTTCAGTAAACATCAAAGGGCTGATGAAGGTTTGATGGCAGATGTACATACAAAAGCAGCCAGAGCCATAGGTTTTATTTTTTGTAGCTGTTGAACAACATAAGAACAATGAGGGGATGAGTCAAGGTTTCTGTTGCTTAGAAACAAGAGCACCCACCCAGAAGACACCAACCTCTTTTTTTATCAACATTAACCCATCCTTTCGATAAATAGTTTGGTCTTTTTCCACTCTCATTTCCATAAATCAGACCCCAGTTGAGATATCCTGCATAAATCTAATGGCTTCGCTAATGAAAAATCGTCTGTTGTCTTTTTTTTATTATTTTTAGGTGAAGAGTTCCCTGGACGGCAGCTAAGGAAAGCAGCCTGGTCAGCTGGTCAAGCCTGTTGATTTCTTCTGGCACTAGGTGAGGATCTCTGTTTCTTTAAGAATAGCTTTCATGATAAATCTATCTGTAAATCTATTACAGAACATTTGGTGGGTTTTGTTTTAACCAGAAAAGGCCTTGCAGTCTGTGGTCGTCATCAAAACAGGAAGGAAGTGACCTTGAGGTTTATGTTGTTGAATTACTTAAATGGTTGCATTTGTTTTGGTTAGTAATGACTCTTTCAAGAACACAACTTAAAACTCTCTATAAGCTGCTGTTGCCTAGTTACAGAGAGGAAATAAAAGCCCACATTTGTCACTTAAATCAGTACATTTCTAGCATGGTGACTGCCTATTGAGAGCACTGAAATGACAGGTTATGTGAGGCTGTATTCATTTAATATAAGGGCAAGACATAACCAAGATCTTCTCAATAGCATCCAAACAGATTTAGGCTGACAAAAATTCGTTGTTATGAAATTGTGAATAGTGGACAATTAATGGCCAATCCTGACTGTCTCTCATTTCATGTTCTCTCAATTGAAGATCAGGTGACATTCACAGGAATTTTCTTCTGAAAACCACTGTGTCGCTGCCCAAATCATGCTGCTATGCCTGAATGAATACGCCTACTGGATCTCATATCCGTAATCATAAATTGCCTGGAGAGCTTGAAGTCTCACGTCTGCTGTATTTTCACTGGCTGCATGGCTGTACTCCGGTTTGCATCCTTCTTTTTCCCCAATACCCTGCATTAGAGTCTCAGAACATGTGCTTTGGATGACTTTTTCCCGGCTTTTAACATATGCCATCCTCTAGGTCAGCGGTCCTCAACTGCTCTGCACATTTTGTATGTTTCTCTTATCTGACACTCAGTTCAGTTCATGGATCACTCTCATAACGAGCTGATGATCTGAATCAGGTGTGTTAAATAAGGGAGACATACAAAATGTGCAGAGCAGTGGGTCCCGAGGACCGGAGTTGAGAACCACTGCTCTAGGTAAAAAAAGAAGAAGAAAAAAAAACATGAACTTTTGTGATGTAAAGAAGTTTTACAAAAAGGTTTGGCAGAATAATGAGTTGTAAATGACAAGTGTAACATGCGTGAAAACTCCACACATCTACCAGAACTTCTCTACTTAATCAGTTATCTTTAAAAAATAAAAATAGATGGATAAATAAAACAACATTACTGTGTTTTCAACAGGCAAATTCATTCTCAAATGAGATGTTATGGAAATGTGTGATGCGTAAGCCTAAAACATGTTGGAATCCAAACAAAATCCATGTGTGCAAAACACTCTATTATTATTATTATTAATGTATACTGTAACATTTATGTTTTATGTATGTTTTTGCTATTAAAATCCACAAAATTCAGTGGAAAATAATATCTCTGCAAAACCGAGTTCTTCGACTGATCATTAAAAATCACTCTTGACATGATAAATGTGTTTGTATTTGTTTTACAGATACATTGCTCATAGTAAAAACGCAGTGAAAATAGTGCTCTGTCAAGAGGTATTTTGCAATTTGTAGTCTAAGATGAGAAATGGCTTGCAGCATTCTATAAATAATCTTAAACCCAATCTTTTTTTCACTTTATCTCCGGAAAGAGGTATTCAAAACTTGGCTCAACTCGCTGCCCAAATCATGCTGCTATGCCTGAATGAATACGCCTACTGGATCTCATATCCGTAATCATAAATTGCCTGGAGAGCTTGAAGTCTCACGTCTGCTGTATTTTCACTGGCTGCATGGCTGTACTCCGGTTTGCATCCTTCTTTTTCCCCAATACCCTGCATTAGAGTCTCAGAACATGTGCTTTGGATGACTTTTTCCCGGCTTTTAACATATGCCATCCTCTAGGTCAGCGGTCCTCAACTGCTCTGCACATTTTGTATGTTTCTCTTATCTGACACTCAGTTCAGTTCATGGATCACTCTCATAACGAGCTGATGATCTGAATCAGGTGTGTTAAATAAGGGAGACATACAAAATGTGCAGAGCAGTGGGTCCCGAGGACCGGAGTTGAGAACCACTGCTCTAGGTAAAAAAAGAAGAAGAAAAAAAAACATGAACTTTTGTGATGTAAAGAAGTTTTACAAAAAGGTTTGGCAGAATAATGAGTTGTAAATGACAAGTGTAACATGCGTGAAAACTCCACACATCTACCAGAACTTCTCTACTTAATCAGTTATCTTTAAAAAATAAAAATAGATGGATAAATAAAACAACATTACTGTGTTTTCAACAGGCAAATTCATTCTCAAATGAGATGTTATGGAAATGTGTGATGCGTAAGCCTAAAACATGTTGGAATCCAAACAAAATCCATGTGTGCAAAACACTCTATTATTATTATTATTATTAATGTATACTGTAACATTTATGTTTTATGTATGTTTTTGCTATTAAAATCCACAAAATTCAGTGGAAAATAATATCTCTGCAAAACCGAGTTCTTCGACTGATCATTAAAAATCACTCTTGACATGATAAATGTGTTTGTATTTGTTTTACAGATACATTGCTCATAGTAAAAACGCAGTGAAAATAGTGCTCTGTCAAGAGGTATTTTGCAATTTGTAGTCTAAGATGAGAAATGGCTTGCAGCATTCTATAAATAATCTTAAACCCAATCTTTTTTTCACTTTATCTCCGGAAAGAGGTATTCAAAACTTGGCTCAACTCTATAGCTGATCTCATTTAACTCAGTGGTCGTGTTATCGCATTGCTGATCTAGCCCACACAACGTTATCTCTGCCCAGTGGGTTGGTTGAAAGGGTTGTTTCCCTGAGGCAGTGAAACGCTGTTTTCTGTCCATGTTTAAAAGACTTGGCTCAGTCAACAAGCCTCAGGTTATTTCAAACTAAAAATTCAACACCTTTTGTTGCTGCGGGTACTTTATTGTCATAGGTCCTCTATTGTCTGATGTTGGCTGAATCCCAGTATTGCACTGATGCCCAGACTAGTGCTAAATGCACTCACTTTGCTTTATATGGTTGAGAGAATTTCATGAAGAACTTGCCAGTTGTACGGTAAAATTAATGTCCTATTTTTTTTTTTTTTTTTTAATATTGAAAATTATTTACTTGTTTCAGTCATTGTTATTATTAAAAGTAGGGCTGCACGATAAATTGCATGCGATATTTAACGAGCATCTTATCAGTAATCTGCTAAAAACTGACAAGCTGCGCAAAACCACGTTCATATTCGCGCAGCTTGTCAGTGAACAACAGCTCTGTGTAGTTAATGCTGCTCAATGTGAAAGCCCGCAGGTGATGGAGATTTACCGCTGATTACAGAACCGGCTTTCTGACAAGATGCGCATTAAATATCGCATGCGATTTATTGTGCAGCCCTAATTAAAAGTCTTGACATTGAGATTGATATTTTAAGTAAATATTGATCAAATGCAGCCATGCAAAAGGGGTATTCAAAGCACCACTGTACAGAAAGAATCAAACAGAAATGAAAAAATCTGTTTTTGTTCACCTCAAATATGTGGAAAATATTTGCTCAAGACCTATTCCAAACACCTGTCCTTTTCTATGTGGGTCAGGTTTAATAGGCATGACAACAACCTGCGGTAACCTGATGTTTTGTTTGTGGAAAAATTTGCAGATACATTTTTGCATGTTGTTTTTGAAGAGCACGTTCTATGTCTGTGAGAGCAAATGTATACTGGACCCAAATGAGCCCCTGGATCGATGACATGAACTCCCAGTCATCATGGCCACGTGTCATCAAGGCCTCAGTGATACTGGCACAAGTTTGTGTGAGTGATTCTTACCTAATGTTAAGCTGTTAAACCAGAACATCATTTTACAAACACCTGCTGACTTTAGTACCTCATAAATTTAATTCCTCTAAATCAGGGGTGTCAAACTCAGTTCTTGGAGGGCCACAGTCCTGCCGAGTTTAGCTCCAACGCACCTACCTTCAGTTTTCAGGTAATTGGAGACCTTGATTAGCTGGTTCATGTGTGTTTAATTAGAGTTGTAACTAAGCTCTGCATGGCCCTCCAGAAACTAAGTTTGACGTCCCTGCTCTAAATCATTGGGGGTCCTAAGAGTATGTGACCAGAATGCTGAAAAAGTTTGCAATTTATCTTGTGAAATCATGCTGCAGTTTTATACGGACTGTGACTTTACAGACATTTAACCAGTCATGCCGTCTTTTACTGTTCTTTTGAACTGCAGTGCATTGTGAGCGTGAGAGACCCAAATGGAGAAAACTATTGTAATTGGCTGTGTTTTTTGATTGTGAAAAGACCAGGTGTAAATGGCCTTCGAAATGGTTTCAAGATGGATTTAAATCCGATTGCTCAAACCATTTCAGGAGGTGGTCTGTGGTGCATTTCAGACAAAACTGGACAAGTGTAAATGTATCTGTTTGTTGAAACCACATATGTAAATTTTTTTACTCCTCCCAAAATGTTAAAATAATAAATGTCTTAGAGCATTTTATAGGCTATATGACATGTTATAGTCATATATGACAGCACTAATGCAACACGCATCGCTGCATATCTGTCAGTTGACTTGAACTCTGTTAAATTTAGCATATTACATGGGAATTGAAAATCGGTTTTGTATTAGTTTTGCGGAGACACATTTACGTGGCCAGGTGAAGATGAAAGGGTTTTAACAAATCAGATAGCTATCAGTGACCAGGTGTAAACCGGCCCATAAGGTAATGCATTTTTTTTTCAGGTGATGTTTGTTCCACAACGAATAGACGTAAAACCTGTTGCGAATCAGCTCATGGGGAAATATGAATAATTAATCATAACTAGTTATAATTAATTATAAATATTTAGATCCGCTGTAGATATTTAGCTGACCTCTCAGGGTCAACTGTCTGTCAATTCTAAGAATGTTAATTTCCTGGTTAAAGGAAATAACTTTCTTACTGTACAACTCTGCACAGAGCTTGTAGCATAAATCTGCATTATTAGAGACTCCAGTTATGAGCAAACAATGAACAACGTCAAGTGTGATACAAGTAAGACTTTATTAACTACATAAACACTTG